GAGTCACTAAGGATCTTACATTCACACCAGCGGTTTTTCGGGGAGCTCTGGCATAAATTTCTTCTGCGAAAGCACTCGACAAAGAAAACCCGTAATCCACCAACTCACGCACGAGCTCAGCTGGTGATTTTGATTTTTTGGCTGTGCAGGAAAACAAAATCCAACATGATCAAACTACAATCATAATAGTCAAAAAAACAAAAAAAAAATTGCTTCATTTTGCTTCAGAGAGAAGGTAGTGAGACATATAATTACAGAATGATCGAACAACGTAGAAGAAACCCTAAAGATTAGGATTTAACTTAGATCTAGGTTTTCTGAAACTCGCAGAAAGTGACAAGAGACGGAGAAGGAAGATGAAGATGGTAGATTATGATTACCACAAGACGGCCAAGTGACAAGAATCGGACGTCGGAATGTATCGAAGAGGATTCACCGGCGGCGAGACAAGTCTCCGAAGAAGAACCCAACGTCGAATGTTTTTTTCCCCGTTATGAACCAAAAGTCTATTTATACGTAACTCTGATTTCTGAAAAAAATTTAAATTTCCGTGTTTTTAGTTGGTCTGTACCGGTTTAGACCGGTCTGGTCCGAGGTTTATTGAAATGTCAAGAGATTATTCGGTCCTTGTTAACAAAATTGGCCAATTACTAGTTTCCTTTTACCCGCTTCTATTTTTACTTATTAGTCAACCCAAAATATTAAAATGGAACTTTCTTTTTGTGCAACATTAAAAGGGAAGCTTGATATTAATTATCTCACCATTACTTTTAAATCTACTACTAAAGTCTACTATATTTCATACTGGTAAGAGATTGTGAACAATAGTTTTCATGGCAAGGAAAACATATTACTGTCCATTCTGAGTTTTTATTTACTTTTTACATCCTGAATAGTGAATCCTGGGAAGATCATAAACCAGGCAACAGTTTCTTTGTGAAAGAGCAATTGCATAACAGTCCAAAAACCCTCGGACTCGAGCCATGGCACAGATTAAATACAAGTTAAGTTGAAACCAAAAATGTATTATACCTGAGAAAAGAAGCTGTAGAACACGATTTTTGACTAAGAAGTCGCTCCAAAGACACGGATTCTCTGCTGAACCGGAGCTCTGCAACAAGGACAGGTTGCTTTGCCACCACCCATGAAGCTATCACTGCAGCTTGCACAGACGACTTGGTGCGCACAGGGGAGAAACACAACCGAAACCTCATCTTTAAGGCAGATCAGACATTCCCGGTCATAGTTTGCTTCCTTCTCATATGACCCATCAAGCCTATCCAGCTCTTCAAGCAGCTTTGACATTGCTTCTCCCTTCGACTTGTTGCCTGATTTACTCTTTGTGTGAGAGGTCTTATTGGACTGGAGGCTTGAGTCAGTTGAAGAGGCTTTGTTGAGCCCAGACAGCTCTTGTTCCAGCCTTTGGAGATCGTCCTTATGTCGCTGGAAGTCTATTTCGATCTTTAACCGCAGGCTTTCCACCTTTCTCTTGTTGCTAGCCTCTGTTGCTTCTTTGGACCGCTGTTCTTCCTCCACTTGAGCCAACGCTTGCTCCTTCGCTTTCTGCTCCTGCCTCCATTTAGCCTGCAAATACAATATTTAACAATATGAAAAATAGACTAACCATTATATGCAAATATTACCCATCGACCAGCATTGAGAGAAAGAGCTGACCCGTCAAAAGTATAAGAGGTGGTATAATTCCTTGGAACAGATTCTACAACTCAACACTGAATCTCATTCTCTCAAGCTAATATTTAGAAGAGTACATTATCTTGAATCCTAACTAAATGCTTTCCACAGGTTATAGTGTCAAAAATTGTGGAGATCCAGAGGATTTCTTGGTACCTCATATTCTTTTTCTTCCTGCGTGATCTGAGCTAAAGCACTATTAAGTGCCTTAATCTTTTCTTTCTCAGCCGTAATCTCGTCCTGCAACTTCATTTTCTGCTTCTCCCACACCAAAAGTTTCTTCAAGCATTTTTTCTCCTTCTTTGATGCCTCCATGCACGCTGTGAGCGATTCTGATGCACTTAATTTGGAAGATTCCATTTCCGCTCGGATTTCTGCATTTTGGTTCTCAAGTGTCCTTGCTATCGCATTAGCCTTGTCAACTTGACCACAAGCTTTTCTAAGAGCATTTTCCATGTCTTGTAATCTTTTTATGGTTGAGTCCTCGCGAGTGTGTTTCCCCTTTTTCAACCGTTGGGTTTCATCTCTCTCACTCCTCAACGATTTAAGCTCGGCCAGTTCATCGCTAACCTTTTGGGCAGCTTGCATTGCCTTCTTCTGAGCCCAATCTTTCCTGTCCTTTACTTGCTTTTTGAGATCCTGGACCTGATGAAGTAGACCTATTAATGTATCATCCTTTAGTTCCTTAGGTGCCGAATCGATATTGTCATCAAGGTTCAGATCCCGGAATTTCTCCAGCACTGAACTAACACTTTCTTCACTTCCCGAGTTTCGTGGCTGTTCACACTTGTCTGAACATGTAGCAGCAGCTGTGCAAGACAAGCTATTACCACTACTGTCCGACTGCATTTGCATCTGCTTCTTCTGTTTCATACTAGCACGAAACCCAGCGGCAAATGCTGCAACATTCTCTCTCAACAAAGATTTCATTGACGGTGAGAGATTAAATCTCCTCGGACAATCAATTTCTCTCTGCAATGTAAACTCTTCACCATACGAAGAAAACCCGTTACCGGAAAACTCGGGTCCTCTCCCATTCCCAAAACCCCAACCTCCATGGAATCTACACAATGCTGGTACCATAGCACCAACACCATTTACAATACTACTACCAGCACCAACTCCTTCTACATTAGCACCATCCCCATTACCAGAACCTGGTATATCCATTGTACTCGCCCTCCCGACATGGAGCTCACTCATTAACAAACACCACATTGCATCACCTTTACTCAAATGAGGTTTAACTTGTTGCAGCAAATAAATCATACCCGCGAGCGAATACTCCTCCAACTGTCTCAAATCTGTAAAAACCGTCTCTGATTGATCATCCTCATTGTTCCCATTACTACCTTCACCTGGGCTACTATTAAGATAAGCCAATGAATTATGCAGAATGTTTGTCAAAACATCCATCCCACCATAACAATACCCATTACTCAGAATAGCTCTCAAAGCCACATCGTCATCATAACCCAATGCCACAAGCTTCGAAATCGCTTGGTTGTATAAAAACTCCAAATGTTTCAGCAATATATCCTCTAATTGCTCCTCCGTACAGTAACCCCAACCATTCTCCTCGAAATTCCCACTAGGGTTAGAGTCTGGACCCGAATCCAGAAGACCCGGATGGTAAACAAGATGTTTAAGACTCGATTCAACAATTGATCTGGACAGACCTTTCCTGTCGAACAAACAACACGGATCGAATTCGGGTTTCACGGATCGAGTCTTCCGATTCGGCCTAACATGCTTCTCCCTTACAGTACAACCCATCAGAGAATCTCTTTACCACTTTACAACGCACGTCTATGTATATACCAAAATCTGAAGAAAAAAAAACAAAAATTCCACAGAGATTGGAAGAGCGAAGATCCGAATCAAACAAGGATCATAGGAGAAACAAGCAAAATGATGAACAATGAATACAGATTTGAATCAAGAGAAAGAAGTATAGGAACAACTTACTGATCGGAGATGGCTCTGATTCCTCAGCTGAGAAGAACGAGCTTCAATAG